TCTAGGCAGTACGTAGACATTGTCGTATGTTTGCCTATGCTTCTTCACAATTTCACTAGCCTTTCTAAACTCATGCCTCCCATCATGAAACACAGTGGAGAGCTTCCCCCATTTACGGAATAGTACAGTGTGCTCAAGGGGAACATACTTGCATTTTTTCTTGATACCCAAATCAACAACTATTTCTCAAATTTTGGAAAACATAGAGCCTTCATAAACAAAATAAGCAACACAAAAGCTTCTTTTAACTTCTCAACATAAGAATTGTAGTTAAATGCTAGATGCTACAAAGTCTGCGCATGCACCACTACTTTTAAAAGCCCAACCATTATTTGATCTTCCTGGTCTGGAATACAATTGAGGGTTTCATAGTTTGACTCAAAGTCCAAGCTTACTGAACCTTCAGACTCTATCTCGAGGGTAAGATAGCTTGGTGATCCTTAAATCGGTACCACATCTTATTTGGGAATACACTATCTAGATAAACATCATGTGTCTAGATATAATGACTAGACTGGATTCTTGATAAAAATTTGTTGGAGAAAAAATATACTTATTATAAAACAGCCCCATGTCTTGGTTATGAGCTTTCCTTGTGATAGATAATTCTTCTAAATTAAATTAAAAAACCCCTTGATACCCTCCAATGCATTGTACAATGAATTTGCAACATCATCCAAGAAAATGTCAAAAGGAGTTTCCTAAAGTTTTCCAACATTACAGTTTAATATACCACAAGCATATATATAGTTATGCATATAATTTCATAGAGTTTAATCACACCCTGTAGTGGCTATAGACTTTCACTAGTTAGTGCTCACCTTGCATGTATTCAGTTTATCAGCCTACCATTATTGAGCTTAGGGGTGTATGTTTTTTAGCCGATGGGGTACATTGCCAGAAATTTAGGGACAAGATCTAAACTCCAGAAAGAAATTGCCAAAATGTTGAATGACAAGCAAATGAGATATGCATGCTTTGAACGAGACAAACCTTGCTAGTAGAAGTGAAAGCAAATGAGGGAATGGGAATTGTGGCATGGCCCCTCAACGGGGATGACCAAGGCGATGGCGCTGAGTACCTGACGTGGTCAAGACGATATATCATCCATTGTAGACTATCACGATGGATATGAGGTTGTCAAGGAGGGAGGATCCTACTATGGTAACGAGGAGGGATTCTAGGGAGTACCACGCCATGGTGATGAGGATGGGTTCCGGAGAGTACCCTGTAGAGGTGAAGGTGGAGTATCCCACTGCGACAACGATGATGAGGATGTCGAGGGAGGATCTTGCCGCGGTGACAAGGAGGGATTTCGAGTACCCTGCCACAGATGAAGTATCCCTCCGCAATGATGATGAGTGTGTGAAGGGAGCACCCCGCCGTGGTGGAGATGAAATGGTATTTGGAGTATCCCACCGCAATAGCGACGATGGTATGGAGGGAGGACTCCGACGTGACGACGATGACAAAGTCGAAGAAGAAATCCGGCGGGGGCACATCGAAGGCGTCTGGGGACCCCGATATGTTGGCGGTGACTACGGTAGTGATGCTTTCGGGTAGGAAGAGGAGCTCTCTCTTCCTTTCCCATTTCTTTTTCTACTTTTCTTTTGTGCAATGGGTTCACGGGTGTGAAGGTGGTGTTTGCCATTTAGAAGTGGTGCTAGGATGAGAAGGGAAAATGCAGGGAGGGATGAGGGAGGTGGTGCAGTAATAATGAGTAAGTAGATGACAAAGATGTTGTTTTATGTGGTGCCATTCCACATCCCTGCGGTTCAGTTTTCCAAAGATTAGAGGTAAAGGGCCCCTTTAGAACAAACAACTTACAGAAATATATAGAGATTTTTACATAAATCAGTTCATTTTCATAGAAAAATGCAAGAGACATAAAAAATCATTCCGAAGGGATCCAAATCAGTTTATTATAACCCACTCTCAAATGTCAATTTTCATCACTTATTTTCCATATCACGTCGCGTTTTCAACTATCCAAATGTCACAAGTAGCGTTTATTAGTTCTAAAGGAATAAATGAAAAGGTATAAGACTTCAAATTCGTGGCCAACATAAATTAGGGCATATTCTCTCCGTTCTAAAATAAATGCACGTCTCGCTTTCTAAAAAGTCAAATTATTTTAAGTTTAACAAATTATATTGAAAATAGTATGTATATTTATATTTCCAAATAAATTTGTTATGAAATTATATTTTATTATCAATCTAATGATACTTATTATATAAAATTAATACGAGTACATACTTAGTGAAGCTTAAAAGGTCTAACCCTTCAAGAAGCGAGATATGTATTTATTTTAGGAGATGGAGAGAGTACATGTGGAAAGAAATGGAAACCAAACCATAGCAATATGGTAACTTGAGTCAGAAGTCCGTGTTAAGATGTATTCCCTCCATTACTTTTTAACTATCGTTCTCACTTCCCGATAAGTTAAAAGTACTCAACTTTGACCAAATATATACAAGAAAATAACAATATTTATGGTACATAATTAGTATCATTAGATAAATTGTTGGATTTATTTTTATAATAAATTTATTTAGAGATATAAATGTTGGTAACATTTTATACAAACCTAGTCAAACTTTAAAAAAATTGAACAATACAAATACCATAGCAACACTCCAAAAGGGACCAATGGAGTAGATTGGAAGCTCCTATAAGGTGGAATCCTACCAGATTTTGTGGTGTAAGGTGGGATCATACCAGATTTGGTGGCTCTTGAAACAAAACTTGGATAATATTTTTTTCTTTTGTTCCCTAAAAACTTTTTTTCTTTGATTTTGGGTTTTGAATCTCCGAGATAACGATTTTTTTCAATTTATCCATTTTTTGTCAAAATTCCACATTTATACCCCTAGGCGTCAAAAGCCCATCTTTAGACACTAAGCTCGGGTGGGGTGACCTATGACGCCGAGGTAACACGTCTCGGCGCCATAGGTCATGGCGCCAAGGTAGGAGGTCATGGTTGGCGTGGTTGGCGTGTGGCGCTGACATGGCCAAGGCTTGGCGTGGTAAAAGATGCATCATGCATGGCAGGCAACCAACATCTTTAGGCCTAAAAGTAGTCTCGCCGTGAACTTCCTCATCCCTGCTTTGCCCAACCGCTATTGCCGCTCACTGTGGGCGACGACGCTCCATCACCTTGCCATCCCACCTGCCCAAGGGGGAGAAGCAGCCTTCTAACCCTCCTACGGAGGTTAGTGGCGACGAACAACATCGGTTCGAAGATCACGCGATTGCACTACAACATGTTGCGGATTATAGATTGTGTGGCTCAAGAAGTTAGGTGAAATTGATAGTGACAGTGTATCTGCTCATAACTACCCGTTGGAACCCATGACAATTATGTAGTTTATTAGTAGCAAGTATATCTCTAGATAAGAAAAAAGTCCATTTTCCCTCCCTTAACTAAAGTCAGTCTTTCCTCCCTCAACTCTAAAACCAGAAATACTTCCTCCCTCATCTCTCAACACCGTCACTTGACCTCCATGGCTGTTCCCTTGGTGGTTTTTCTTTTTTCTTTTATGTTTATATTTCGGCTGAATTTTTGAAAATCATAGTAAATCATAGAAAAATCAGAAAATAGAAAATCCAATTGTGTTGGCCTCTACATGAGTAGACCTATAGAGTGAACATATAATATGGTATGCTTTCGAACAAAGTTTTTGCTATAACTTTGTATCTCTGTTTTTCTATAATTTATTTATATCTGCAGTTTGTCTAGTCCAATTATGGTGAAATTTTTATGATGGATTACTTGAGCTTTAGAAAACATTTCATGCTCATTGGATTATACATGAGTGACTTATAGATTTATCTATTGATTTATCGAGATAAAACTATAACTCGGTCATACATGATCAATGAGCATGAAATTTTTGCAACATCTTAAGCATTCAATGATTAGCCCACCGTAAAAAATCACCATAATTGGACAACAGAAACTACAACTATGAATTAATTACAAAAAAATTTAGATCTAAAGCTACAACCCAAGCATGTAATGATTAGCCCACCATACAAAAATTTCATGTTCATTGGATCATGTATTATTGAGTTATACATTTAATTTCATTTAAAATTTGTTTAACAAACATAAACCTAGATAAATCTATAACTCAATCATACATGATCCAATGAGCATGAAATTTTTACTACAACTCAAGCATGTAATGATTAGCCCACCATACAAATTTTAGCATAATTGGACCAGAAAAACCGCATCTATGAATCAATTATAGAAAAACACAGATCTAAATTTACATCAAAAACTTTGTGCTAAAGCATAGTGTATCATATGTTCACTGTATAGATCTACTCATGTGGAGTCCAATACAATTGAATTTTTTATTTTATAATTTTTTTGTGATTTACTATGATTTTTCAAAGATTCAGCCAAAATAAACATAAAAGAAAAAAAAGGAAAACCACCAAGGAAAATAGCCATGGAGGTCAAGTGACTGGTTTTGAGAGATGAGGGAGGAACTATTTATTTCTGGTTTTAGAGTTGAGGGAGAAAATTGACTTTGACAATAGTTGGGAGAGGTAAAATGGACTTTTTCCTATAGATAAAGATAGAGATGAAAATAATATACTTGTGGGCCTAGGAGTCCATGTCCTTTTTTTGGATAAGTAGGAGTCCAAGTCCTGGTTACCAAAGGCCCGGGACAGAACTCGGCCCAAGTCCGGCCCTTTTAATAAGTCAAAGATCAAGAGACATCCCACACTCACCAATCGACGCACCGGATCAAACACGGCAACCCAAATAAAAAAAACTAAGAAAAGCCGAACAAAAAACACGACGCGGCGAAGAATATAGCACCGCACCACCGGCCTCCCCCGACCTCGTCTTCGGTGTCGTCGCCCGCCACCCCATGAGGCCGCCCCCGAGACATGCCTCGTAGCCCCGGCGTTAGCAGCAGCAGCAGGCGCTCCCTTTGCGTCGCGTCCCCCGCCCCGCCGCCGCGGCCGCCGTCGCCGGCATGGCCATGCCGTTCGCGCGCCGCGACATCGAGGCGGCGGGCGCCGGCGCCGGCCCCGGCAGCGACGACTCTCCTGCCGCTAAGAAGGGCAAGCCGGAGCTCGCACGGGCGCGCCCGGCTTTGACGAGGTCCGAGGCGTTCGCGTTCGCGGCCGTGCTCGCGCTCTTCACCGCCGGGATCTTCTGCGTCTTCCTTACCGCCCCACGCGGCGAGTTCGGGCAGATCCTCCGCCTCCCGCGCAGCCTCGCCGACGTCCGCCTGCTCAAGTAAACATATCTCTGCCCGCTTGCTCGTTGTTTCCCCGATCGATTTTTATTTGGATCGAAGCTATTGCGTATCTGAGACGCGTGGTGTAAATCGGGTATCTGAAACGCGTAGCGTACTACAAGCTTGGTATCTATTGATTCACTAGTGCTAGTTTGGGTGTGATTTCGGATGCCGATTTCTGAGGACTAGGCTGTTCTTCAACATCAAAGATGAACACGCGGTGTAATCAAATAATACTCAAGACATGTTTTAGTAGATGCAAATTTAAACATCAGATATATTGGTTACTAATTTCAAGGAAGGGGACAAAAGAGGCTTGCTTTCGTATTTGATCTTGCAGTGGCTGCAACAATGGGAGACTTTGTCTAAGTCAAAACCTCGTTAGGAATTAGGCAAGATTAGGCGCTCATTGGATGTACAAATTTCAATAGTTGTTGTGGACAGCGACTTGCTTTCGATCTTGCTGTAATTGTCATGGACAGCGACTAGCTTTCTTTCTTGCTGTAAATTTTCTCTCTCTCGGGAGTCAGTACTCAGTACCACTATAATTCTTCTCAGGTTAATTACCAGGGGAAGTTTGCAAGTATATTGGCCTTGCGTGTCAATTTTTCAAAGCTCCCCATTACCATCATCTATACAAGACGAAAGATGATACCCACATTTATGTTGGGTTCTACATGTTAGAGAAGTACTTAGTTATAGATATAAACACTGGACAATGCTGTTGTGGTACCAAATTAATTATTTACAGTTTTTTTGGACTACTGTACCCATATCGATTTAGTTAGATAAAGTAAATATTTTCATTTTATCCGTACCTCTTGTTGAAGTTCGGTACAAGTTGCGTATGCTTTGTTGTGCATTCGATACAAAAAAATTGAATCTTGTAAAGTTACTGGCACTAATATAAGATCCTGGACCTAATATGATTCAAGAGCTAGGTTTATTTTGTAGTTTTCCATCAAGATAACACAATTTAACCTTGTAAATAGATATTTGAACCTAACTTAGTTATTTTAAATGTAAATCTGAACATTCAAGCAATTTGAATTTTTGTTGTTTATTATGCATTGTACTCACCTTTCACAATACAGAATAGACATTTGACCTCTGTCGCCATCAACTAAGTCGTAGGATTGTTTCGCCTATCCCTCAGTTCTGGGTTACTAATTTAACAAGACAAGAACTCACTGTAAATTAGTTATAACTACCAATTGGTCATTTGTTCTGATGAATTAGGATGTGACCTTGCATTTCTGTTACAACCAGCCAACTACTCACCAAACCATAGTACATTCAGTTATTTACTTACATTTCTTGTTACAACAACACAGACACTCATTTTGTTTGTTTTGGCTAATTTAACAATTTCATTTGGTGTCTAAGAGACACTGCGAGTATTTACCAAAATCTAGCATGCCGAGGTGTGCTCCTACGTTTCAATTACAGTCCCCTTCTAAGATACAAGCTGAGTGCATCTGATGCTATGCTATTTTCCTATTTGAACATTTTACTTGTACTAGTTTATTAACCATAGAATTCTCAGAATTTTCAATCTTAACGCAGGTGTTACTGAACACATAGCCAATTTGTTTTAACTGATTTTCTACTAGACTTACACTCTGTTACCATTGGTGGATAATAACATGAAAAAATTGGAAGTCATTTATGCTTTTATAATATCTAGACATAGCGTGTATCTAGGTGCATATCAAAAGTTATGGACCTAGGAAAGCCAAAACGACTTACAATTTGGAACAGAGTGAGTAATTTTCATGTCTGCAATCTTTGTAGAGTATAGTGAGAATGAAATTAATGGATATAGTTTGGGAATAAGACATATATAGTGCTGTTTGCTAATAAGTTTTTATAAACTTGCAGAGACAATCTTGCTGTTTACGCGAGAGATTATCAAACAAATTTTATGTTGGGTTATTGCTCAATATACATCTTCATGCAAACATTCATGATCCCTGGGACAATATTCATGTCATTACTTGCTGGGGCTCTTTTTGGAGTGATTAAAGGTGGCATTTTGGTAGTTTTCACTGCCACAGCCGGTGGATCGTCCTGCTATTTTGTCTCCAAGCTGATTGGCAGACCTTTGGTTAGTTGGTTGTGGCCTGAAAAACTGAGATATTTCCAGTCAGAGGTATCTTCTGCTATGCCTGTTCTGTTGGTTAACATTTTCTTGAGATCCTTCCTGCAACACAAAGTTCAGCAGTTTCTTTATTTCATAAAAAATGACCTATAGTCATGTACTATTATTATGTAACAAATACCATTGTTTCTGATGCAGATTGCTAAGAGGAGAGAAAAGCTATTGAATTATATGCTTTTTCTGAGAATAACTCCAACTTTGCCCAATACATTCATAAATATGGCGTCACCGATTGTTGACATACCTTTCCATATTTTCTTCGCTGCAACACTAGTTGGTCTTATTCCAGCATCTTATATTACTGTAAAGGTAATCTTCTTCTTTAACAACAGAGTCGGTATGATTGTTTGACTCATTTTTGGATTATATTGAATCATTAATCAGAAGAGCAGACCTGGTGCAAGCGGTAGAGTCTTACCGCCTGTGACCGGAAGGTCCCGGGTTCGAGTCGTGGTCTCCTCGCATTGCACAGGCGAGGGTAAGGCTTGCCACTGACACCCTTCCCCAGACCCCGCATAGAGCGGGGAGTTCTCTGAACTGGGTACACCCTTTTTTTATTGAATCATTAATCAACCAATGTCCATGTTGTATTGTTAAGAAATCACTTGAAACATGGGCTTGGGTGCTTAAGCATCAAGAGTGCCAAATATGTGTCATTGTTTAGGGTTCTAAATGTATGGCATTGTTCTTATGCTGATGTTTGATGAATGGAGATGAAAGATAACATGTGTCATGAACTGCCTAAGCATGTCTTTGCTGATGGCTTCAAGCCTCTAACAAAAGTACTACATATCTTTGAAGTTTTCTGGGTTTAGTGGAAGCTGTATGAGCAAACATCATCATGCGTGCCTGGGCCTAGGGTCTTCTTCTTCTTCTTCTTCTTCTTCTTCTTTTTGCGAGGATAGGGGCTCCTTATCTATAACTGTTGTTAATTCCAATTAACCAGTAGGAACCTTGTTAGACTCTATCCATACTACCCATCCCTGTGCAACCTCTTAAGCCTATACTTAATGAAGAGTTACCTTTTTCACTGCTAATAGGCTACTTGACCTAGAAACTACCTGAGCTGTGAGCTTCACCCACTTTATGCTTCCCTGTAACTCCAGTGAACATCTTTTATCAATCTTCTCAATGTATTGCATTGAAATAATGAATCTAACCTTTCTTTGGAGCCTGACGGTCTTGTTCCTTGATTATACTTGCTTTTGAGCATTTTCAGTCATTTTCCTGCTAATAATTTTTGTGTCATTGTCATGCAGGCTGGTAGAGCCCTAGGCGATCTGAAGTCAGTTAGAGAGTTGTATGACTTCAAGACATTAGTGGTTCTGTTCCTTATTGGATCTGTTGCTGTCGTTCCAACAATCCTGAAAAGGAAGAGAACATACGAATGATGTCTAGAGCATCTCATACTTTCTTTAGATGCTCAAAATGTATTAGGATTTTTTTCACCTTTCTTTTTGTTTTCTTGATATCGTATACATATTCAATTCTATATGTAGAGATGTAAAATTGAATGCTTTCTAATACCAGATGATGCCATCATTGTATCTGCATGTCTCCCTGTTCATTGTTGATCACCATTGTCAGTTGTTCACTCGTGCTACTGTGCATGCTTATATTATCTGAACTGAGAATTTATGTTATTGGTGTGTTGTATGGCTCTCTGTATTGCACTTTATATTAATCTCAAAGGACTTTTTTAGAAATGGGTTGGGTATTCCTAATGATATCTTTTTTTTTTTCTAAAGAAAGGAACGCAAAGGAAAGAAAAAAAAAAGTACAGAAATAGGATAGGAGTGTTGTGGGGGAAAAAGAGGAATGAAAAATGTATGAAGATGTAAATAGAAGCGTTTGGAACGTAGGGATTTATAACACTAAATTTTCAAAACATAGGTGTGATTAAAAAGATAAACATTTGTTTTGTTTTTTTAATATTTAAATTTTAATAATTAATAAGGAAATAAACATACGTGATTATTTCTATGACATGAGATAGGACAAGAGAAAATAGTAAAAGATGTGCATGATTATGATTATTAAAAAGAAAAAGAATTGTATCTGACGCATCCTCCTAAATTTTCCTCTTTCCTCACCCTCTTCATATAAATGTCCATGCAGCCCAGGGCACGACGGCCCTGCCCGAAGCACTGCATTTTAGCCCGACACGAGCACGGCACGGCCCGGTGAGTAGCGGGCTGAGCCAGCTCGGCCCGATACACAAGGTCGTGTTTGGGCTGCTGCTCAAGCACGTCAGGCGTCACGGCACAGCTCGGTCCACAAGGGTCGGCCCGATGGCGGCTCGGCCTGCTCACATCCCAGTATCCCATCACCAGGCTAACGGTGGCCGCTAACCCTAACTCCCCCTCCTCCCTCACTCTCTCTCTCTCTCGCCCATCCAGCGCAGGGCCGCAGGCGCGCAGCCCCCTCCCAGCAGCGCTGCACTATCACCCTCTCGGTCGTGGGTCGCCCCAATCTCCTCGGCTCCTCCCCTTCTTACCTCGTAGGCTCGCAGCTCGCGCTTCCCTTTCGCGGCCTCGCCTCATCCCCGTGCTCGACAGCGTCTCCCTCGTGTGCGGCCGTCTTCCTCCCACGCGGCGTCCCCGGCCGAATTCAAGCGCGCCGGCAACCTCCTCCTAGCCCTCCTCCATGCCTGTAACACCCTCGGTGTTACACCCTAAATCATTTACTAAAACATGTCACGAGCATCATGTTTATGTGTTAATGCATGTGAAAGCTCTAGTTTAGTTTTGGTGAATTAATGAAACCCTAAGTGCTAACCTAGTTTATCAAAGTGATCATGAGATAGGGTAGCACATTCCAAGTGGTGAAGCAAATGAAGATCATGATATGATGATGGCGATGCCAAGGTGATGATCAAGTGCTTGGACTTGAAAAGAAGAAAGAGAACAACAAAAGGCTCAAGGCAAATGTATAAGTGGTAGGAGCCATTTTTGTTTTGGTGATCGAGACACTTAGTGAGTGTGATCACATTTAGGATCGATAGCCGTACTATTAAGAGGGGTGAAACTCGTATCGAAATGCGGTTATCAAAGTGCCACTAGATGCTCTAACTCATTGCATATGCATTTAGGATCCAGTGGAGTGCTAACACCCTTGAAAGTGTTTGTAAAAATATATGCTAACACACATGTGCATAAGGTGATACACTTAGTGGTTGGCACATTTGAGCAAGGGTAAGAAACTTCACCGGCAGAGTGTTTGCCCATAGAGTGTGGACAGTCCGACGGTGCCACCGACGCCCTATACAGAAAAGATAGGGTTTCACAGAGTGAACTGGACGCTGGTCTCAACTGGACCGGCACGTTCGGTCAGTGGAAGCAGTGAAGGCGCTGGCGTCGATCTTCGACCAGACGCTGGGTCACTTGGTGACCAGACGCTGAGTGGGTGCGTTCGGTCCTGCTGACGTGGTAGCGCACAGAGGAGACGTTGAGTGACCGGACGCTGGGTGAGTCCGGTCGGGCATGACCGGACGCGTCCAGTCGTGAATTTTCGTGAATGAAACCTTACTGGAAACGACCGGACGCTGGGGTCCTGCGTCCGGTCACTTTGAGCAGCGCGTTCGGTCACTACTTAAATGTATTGATGACTGTTGAGATCGGACGATCAACGTTTGAAGCCGATGACACGTGGCAAGCATCGGGCTACCGGACGCTGGAGTCCTGCGTCCAGTCGATCTGACCGGAGCGTCCGGTCACCCCGACCAGTGCCCAGTGAAGGGGTACAACGGCTCTATTTCGTAGGGGCTTCTATTTAAGCCCCATGGTCGGCTCTAGCTCACTCTCTTGGCCATTTGCATTGACATAGCAACCTTGTGAGCTTAGCCAAAGCCCTCCCACTCATCTCCATCATAGATTCAACATCTTTGTGAGATTGGGAGTGAATCCAAGTGCATTGCTTGAGTGTTTGCATCTAGAAGCACTTGGTGTTCGTGTTTCGCTATGGGATTCGCTTATTACTCTTGGTGGTTGCCGCCACCTAGATGGCTTGGAGCAGCGAGGATCGTCTAGTGGAGGTTGGTGATTGTCTCCGGCTCCGATCGTGGTGAATGTGAGGGGTCCTTGACCTTTTCCCGGCGGAGAGCCAAAAGGTACTCTAGTGAATTGCTCGTGGCTTGTGTGATCCTCATCTTGTGTTGGTTGTACGGCACCCTATTGAGGGTTTGGCGTGTGATGCCAATTAGCGCGTGAACCTCCAAGTGAGTGAATCGCCACAACGAGAACTCGCTTGCCGGCAAGCAAGTGAACCTCGGTAAAAAATTATTGTGTCATCATTTGATTTCGAGGTGATTGGTCTTCATTGGTATTCATTCTTGTGATTGATTGGCTCATTCCTCGACACGGCGGTATAACTATCTTGCTTATTGTCTTTAAATTACCGCAAACTAGTTGTCAAGCTCTTTAGTGTAGTTAGTTGTGAGAGCTTGTTAGTTTGGTTAGTATGGCTCTTTAGTTAGCTTTTGAGAGCACACTAACTTAGTGTAGTGCCATAGCCATTGTGTGGTTAGAAACAATAGAAACTAGAATTATGGTAGGTGGCTTGCGTTTTGGTTGGCTAGCGCAACACTTTGCTTCACCTCATAATTGTCTAACCGGTTTGTTAAGTGTTGTTGTAGAAATTTTTAATAGGCTATTCACCCCCTCTAGCCATTAGGACCTTTCAACATGTGATAGAATGTGTAGATAAATTTCTTGTAACTTAAAATGACTAATAAAAATGTTAAACGAAAGTTGATTTAATAGTTCATGTATATCAAGTAGGGTTTAAAACTAATTTTTATTAAGCGAAAATACTATAGAACATGTGTGTGATACTTAAATAAAATTTGAAGTACAAACTTTGTAGATGACAGTAGAATATTTGCTGTTGAAAAATGATATTGCTAGCTAATATTTCTACTAGCCTACAAATTACAAATTGAAATCAAGTTCAGCTCAAAAACTTAGAAAATTTCCAAGTTTGTCAACAGCTAGACATTGCTATGTTTAGCAAATTATTTTGAGAGATTGGGTTAAGGTGTGGTGTAGTATTATAGCTTGATTTGGTAATCTCATATGTCATCTTGAGCATGGTGAAGATGGTTTGGCTCCTGAAGCAACCGTTTAGTTGTTTTGGACGCTTTAAAATTTGTGCACGACTCGGTCTCAGGCTGGTTGGCCATGTGGGCGCGGTCACCACGCTCAGACGCTCGGCGTTGCCGTGTTGGTCGCGCATGCGCGGGCTGCCGCGCATGACCGGCTGTGGCTACCTCTGGCCTGGCTGTGGCCCAACTAACACTGGCCCCGCTGCGCAGAGCTGCTGCCGCCCGCCCTGCGCCACGACGAAGCCACTGTCGACACTATCACCTTGCCGTCGCATCCGTGCACTGCGCCTCGCCGCACTGCCGACCCGCCTCACGCCACGATGCTGCCGCTGCCGTCGCATCGTCATGGTGTCCGTGCTTGTCCGCTGTACCCTCTGCACCGTTGCCAGCCCAGTTCAAGGCCGCCACTACCGTGCGCACGTAGCCAAGCTCGCCGTCACCTTGTCATTTAAGACCACTGCAGCCGCGCGGGCCACGCCGATCAAAAACGCACGCGCCTGTCTGCTAGCGCCTGTGCGTGGGTCTCCATGATCTAGCCGACCGCATCCTGCCAAGGCGAGGTCGAGCCGAGCCCACCTGCCGCGTCCCATCTCTCTCTTTCTCTCTTTCTCCCTGTGTTGTCGCCACGAGCCGCGCCATCCAATTTACCCAGCGAACGATCACCTCCATTCAATTCATCGTACCCACGGCTTCACCATCACATCCTCTCACTGGCCAACCCTACCTAGCCTTGAACCATGCCCGACCAATCTCCAATTTTGGAGTTTCCCCGCCGCCGTGCCGGTAAGGCCGCGTCCGGCTGTGGTTGTGGGCAGCCCTCCTACCGTCTCTCCTAAGCCAATTCACTTGTACCACTAGCTTCACCTTGCATCCCTCTCCACCCTGCATGCCTTAGCTGAACTGCTACCGCCTCCCCATCATCACTGATGCGACCGTGCCGTCGTGGTACTCCGCGCATGGCTCGGCCATACGTGGCTAGCCCTCCTTCGCCATCCTCCACCCCAACCGTCACCTCGTCTAGGTCCATGGTAGTCTACTAATGCTCCCTTGCTAGCCAGTTAGGTTCTTAGGTGCTCTAGATCGCTAGGGCAGCTGTGCCGCCGTCGCGGATGGTCGCACATCACTGTAGCTCGCTCTAGCGCATCCCGCCACCCCTCGCTGCCGCTTAGCATAGCCACTTGGGTCTGAGATGGTGATCAACCTGTTAGGTGGGCCTACGTAGCTCCTAGGTGGCCGACGTAGGCGCTCAGTGCCGCCGCTCGCCACGCCGCCATGCATTAAGTTGCCGAG